ATTTTAGTGCATCTCAACACGAAAACTGGTGCCAACAACTTTACACCTAAGGGGTGTAATGAAAAGTCACTAAGAAAATTTTAGGATCTTAGTATTTCACTACACCAAGAATGTTCTTTTATACCACTTGGTGTAAGGTAGTCTTTTTGTTACACTTTGTTATTTTGTCATTATAATAAATTCTGATACACGCAATGTTGAGTTATTTTTACGAGACAAATTAAAGCGAGAACCATTAATTTAGAACGCATGTATTCAATATTTGTTAAAAATCAAGTTTGTCTGTTACTCAAACATACACTCTCCACAAAAGAATATTAATAAAAATTTGAACAAGACCTAATGAAACCGATGTGGAAAGAAGTTAAATATTATAAATGTATTTAATACAATTGATAAATTTATGCATTCATACAAGAGCAAAATTATCTTTATCATACAACGTAAAACGTTTTTTTATGACAATTTACTTCTTTGGAATTTTCGGGATCGTTCGAGTCGAAATCACACTTTCACCTTCTCGATTATAAACAAAAAACATCGATCGTCTGAAATTGGTGAAAATTATTCTTCATGAATGGAGTTAAAGCATTTGAGTTTGATCAGTGATTGGAGCTTTGATTTAATTACACCCTTTAAAATGTGAATGAAAGCCCGATTCATTATTAACTTGCTCTTTCACAACCCCAAATTCTGATAGGCATTAAAGTGTATAGAGAAATTTCTTGGTGAAATAATAATGAATCCTGATCACATAATGGTGGCTAAATTGAAAATTAATAGAACAGTGTGTCATCATTAAAGTCACAAACCGCTGATAGTAATTCAAGCATTAATGATTTGGGTATCAGGGCAAATTTATTCGTGATAGGGTTTCTAGAGTTTAAGTTACAAAAGCGATTAGAACTTGTGTATAACTTTGCTCCAAAGTAAAATTATCATTTTTAATGAAAATGAGTCCGATAAGATGGTATTTCTATTCATGGCTGAAAACTTTTAAATAGCAAGACGGAAAAGTGCAAAAACTGCTACCAAAGACATTTCCTTCAAGCATTTTTTTCGAAAAAAATAAAATATCTGTAACTATCAAGATTTCTTTTAGAATTTCAGCACATATATAAAATTGCTTCTCTTCCAAGATAAAGTAGATATTGATGAATAGTTTTAAAAAAAGAATAAGTAAACTCCACCTGAAAACTAGCTATAACTGAAATGGTTTTACTACCAGCCTTTCCTCTTTTCCGTCTCGCTTTCACCCCTGTTTCTATTATGAAAAGAATAAACATTTTATAATTCATGCGCCAATTACATTACTCAAAAGTAAAATTCTCAGAGTCAAGATGAGTCTAAAAGAGATGATTCAAGTATAAAAATGATTAATAATTGCCATTCGTACATCAATTACTTCACTCAAAAATAAAATTCTTTTATTCAACAATAAATCCAATGGAACTGTGTTTTCCATTTTAAAAGTGATAAACCATTAAAATATTCATATGAATCAGATAAAAAATACTTTGATTTAATGATACGTTTTTAATATCAAGTGCATATTATTAAAGTATATACATAAATAATCTAAAGAGGAGTATTTCTAAAATGTTTTGATCCGAAATGCATCTTTTTAGAGAGTTATATTATAATTCCTAAGTTGGGGAAACTATTCATATAGCTAAATACAAGTGCTACTAATTTTAAAATTTTGAAAATTTGGGTAATAGGCTTCGATGATTCAATAAAAAATGTCATACTAAATATTTAACGTTCATAACAAATATATAGTAATTTATTGATTACATTCGTTCTTAATTTTGTAAATACAAAGAAAAAAATAATGTTTATTTGAAATCTTGTATATATCAGTCAGTTGACCAACAAGATAAATTTAATGATAAAATGTTGTATCATCAATGCATTTTTTGATTAATGAAAAATAAATAATTGTAATGGAAGATATTAAATGTAACGGAGATGCTCTTAGTAATGCTCTTATTTTCTCCGTTACAAAAGTAATAAATCCGGGTATCACTTTCCTCAAAGGTGAAAAATTTTTTTTAACACGCTCTACGACCGCAATAATTATTCAGAAATAATTAAAAACTAAAAATAATCGCATTTTTCATCAAATTCAATCTCGTAGTATTAAAGCTAATGGAAGCGACAAGCAAAAATATTTTATTGCGTTTATGTTATCCATTCCTAAGGAATAAACACCGCCTTTATTTGAAAGAAGAGCTGATCTGCCTTCAACGCAAACGAAAGATGATTCCAAATAAAAATTAGTTCTCCACCGCTTAATTGACGTAATGTTTTTTTATGACTCTTTCTCGGTACTTAAAAAGCCGGGTGGTAAAAAATGACGTTATCAAGATGGAAGTAGGATTTCTAATTAATTGTTTTACATTTTTTCTTATTCAACTTCTAGCATGAAAAGAATAGTATTTTTATCTTTTAATTAGAATCTTTTACAAAATTAAAGGTTTTCTTATTATTGATATTTTGCACAGTAATTTTTTCAAATATTTTTATCAAATAATATAAATATTTTTCAGATTAAAAAAAAAATCCCTAGCTTTAACACTTAGGTTTTTTAATATTTAAAATTAATAAACTATATTGAACAATTTTCTTTTATTTTTTTTTTTTAGCGAGGCAAACAATAAACCTTCTTGACATTTTAACCCACTGTTTTAAGGATATTACATTTTTCATTTACGATAAGAAATGCATTATATATATATAGAAAATCAAAAAAAGTAGTTTCGTGCCGTTTCATTTTTTATATTTTGTACCATTTTGTCAAATAATTCTAATTTTTTTTCTTTTTTAATTATTAAATTCTTTTTTTTATTACAAACAAAATAAATAAATAAATTATATGAACAGCTCATTTAATTTTAAATTTTGAATACCTTTTCAGTTTATCAAAGTTATATTTTATATTTCAAAATATGACTTTAAGATTATAAGAACATTTTAACTTTTAAGCCTTTTTCCTTAAAAATTCTTTTATTTAAAACAAAACAATACTTACAAATAACCACTTTAAAAAAATTCCCTTTTAGCTTCCTGCATTCAACTAAAACTTCAAAATAAAATATGTCTTTAACAAATAAAGCTATATTAGCTTGCTTCTTGAAGCGTAACGTCACGAAAAGAATAAAGTAGTGAAAATGAGAAAATATATTACATTCAACAATGTTTTACTCCAGTTAAACGATTTGTTTACAGAATAAGCTTTCAACAAATTTTCATCATTCAAAAGAGATTCCCCACCCCCCTCCATTTTTCATTTCTTTTCCTTGATTGCTTCTTTATCCTATGAAACTCAATTCTCAACACAAACGATCAATTTAATCACCAAGAGATTAATACCGTAAGTTAAATTTTTTCATTTTTTTCTTTTTTTTGGTAACATTTATAAATAAATATCTAATGTTGGTAACATTTAGTGTTAAATATCTAATGTAAATCACACTAGTAACAAAATTTCTATCTTAAACATTTTTGCTCAATTGTCTTAAATCACTTTACATAATCATTTCTTTAAAAACAGGTCTTGATTATTAGATAAAATGTTTATTTACTTTAATGCTATATTATCTTTAAAAAAAGAAAAAATAGACCACATTTTAAAATTTTGTTCCAGAAAATACGAAAAATTTTAATGAGATGTCTAAATAACTTTTACCTATAGAAATTTAAATACGTGTTTGCATAATCATAATTGTTATAACTAACTAAACGTATCTAATCTTGCAATTTAGAAATTTTTAAAATACTTTTTTTTTAAATTTTTAAGTTTTCAAATTTTTAAACTCTTGACGGAGAATTTTCATAGTGTGAAAAATGTCTTTTAACGTGTAATTTTTAAAGTTTTTCAATGATATAATGAAAGAAAAAAAACAACTCCAAAAACAAAAAAAAATCACATTGAGTACCTATTTACTAAATTATAATGACATCATTTTCTCTAAACCTATTGTAACCTAAATTTGAAAAAGTTCTGCCAAGTCAATCAAATGATTTTTACCATTTATTAAGGGCTAAAATATTCAAAAGGAAGCTTCTTATTTTAGGTAAACACTTTTTTAAGAATCTAATAAAAGTATTGAACACTTTTGCCAATGTTTAAAGTTAAGACGATTATCATCTAAAGATTACACGATTCCTCAAATCTTGAAACTGATATTCATACAAGCGGTGAAAGTTTTCTAATAGAACAGTAACGTTTAAATGATGTGAATCATTTTTGAAATTATTTAATGAATAAACTATTTAATAACATATATTATTACCAGAAAATAATTTCAAATAATTTAAGTAGTTATTATTACACTTTCCAATAATGCATACTTTCATTGTAAAAAAAAAAGATCATTTTAAATTCGCATAGCTGCATTATTATTGCTTTCAATTATCCATAGTCGCATCATTAAATCATAAATCAAATTAAAAACTATGATATTATTTAAATTATCTTAAACTTGTTATGACACTTCGATATATTTTTTTTCTGCATAATTTCAAGCGTATGCAAGTCACCAATCCTTCTTATCTAAAGAAATATTTTGCTATTAATTTTGTTTTAATTATTCGAAATTAATGATAGTTTTATAATTTAAAAGCCGGATGCGATATGCTGCAAAATCTCTAGATTAAACGCGTGCTGCAATGCGAATCAAGGCAACATCAAACAGTGCTAGAAGAACTATGCTTGATGCAAAATTGAATAAATTGAGAAAAATGAAGATGCAAACAAACGAAAAAAGAAATTTTACTAAGGCATGTGGGGGTGTGGAACCCATATTTCCATATAGGCAGTAAACTACATAAAAGACTATAGTAATTTGACTTTAACAGTAGAATTAATTATATAATGGGAAAAGTGAAATGCAAATGATCGCCATGTAATAAATTTAGAAAATTGCACAAGAGATACTAAATAATTGTAAAACTATAAGGATTTAAAATTATACGAAAGAGAACAAATAACTTACCGTCCACCTAAATGTGAAAGGCAACCTCAGCACCACATGGTGGTCAGGGTTGGTGTGCATCGAAAACGAATTACCACCCACAACACGAGTTGACACATTTCCAAACGTACAAGGTCCTGTATCACTCACTTCAGTTTGATATTCCTTTAGGCACAATCTGAAAAATGTCCGGCACCCCCGAGAACAAGTACCATTTTCTAGTCTGATATCACTTAAAGAACAACAAGTTCCATTGCTAAGCTCTCCTCTTGAATTCTGTATTCCTAAGACTTCCAGTTCGAATGATCCAGTCGCATAAACCATGTTTTTACACAAGAAGATAAACACTGCTACTATACCAAGCAGCAGCTTCATCTTGATTTTTGGCATATCCTCTCTTCTTTAACACTTCTGGTCATGATTTGCAATCACCAATTTACTAATCATTGTTGTCCATACCGCAATAAAAGTATATTCAATTGAAGTCTGAGAATAACCATTCTTCATATGAGTTATGGAATAATCGCGTTAAGAACTGGGCAGACGATTTCATTTTAGTCAATATAAAGTTGCAAAAATAATATTAACTTCTTTTTTTAGAACGCTAAACCATTTTCAGTCAACCGCAGGCAAAAATATGTTTCATGATTAAATACGTTGAAATATAGTTCACCGCACATACTGTCAAAGATGTAAACAAAAACAAGAGACTCGGTATATAAAACGGTAGATAAATTATCGCAAAATATCCAGACGATATTTTTTCAACAATTTAAATTATACAATCAGTTTTCAGACGATATTATATTTCAATTGGATGCATATAAATAATTAATTTTCAAGTATCCAAAATCCAGACAGCGAGTTATTCTTGAAGCCCGTCTCCAATCCAAACCCTACTATCTGCTTGCTCTTGGAACTCCAAAACTTCGAAACAGGCCAAGACGGACGAACGAAAAGTAAAGAAAGAAAACAAGTGAAGTGAGCATGCGCAGTTACGGCTAGCGTCAATCATTGGCCAGCATGCGGCCTAACAGCAGGAGGGGAGAAACTCATTGTAGAAATCAGCCGGGGTTAACACGGGGGTAGAAGCAATGCCGGCAGTTTAACCGGTAGCGCGGTTGTAGGAACGCTACTAAAAAATCATTCGAAAGATCTTATTCTTCTCCGCTCAAGGCCATTTTTTGGGGGTCTCTCACAGGTATGAGGAAGGTTAGAAGAATTCCAAAAGAGTTTTTTCTCCTTTTTCGCTTTCTTTTTTCATTCAAGAGACAGGCTTGTGTGTGGCAACATATTCAGGTGCACGATTTATTATGGCACCACTTGCGGCTTTTGTGTTGGAAAAATTCCTGGAAAAAAGGGTTGAAATGATACAGTTCAGCTAAAATGAATGGTTAGCCAAAGATATTTTAAAAAATAATTAGCATGCCTTATTTTTTATAGAACAGGTTAGGCATCAGATGAAAAAAAATATAGTCTTAAATGTTTCGAGAACCTAATGAGTTTCAAGATTTATTAGCTTTAAGTCTAATTAGCCTTGTTAGAACAAAACAAATTTTAAATGACAAATTACAGCTTTATGGGATATTTTAGATCCAAAATGCCGTAGATTTAAAGAGATAAATATTATTTCTTAAAAATTACTGCCAGATTAACTATAACACAAAAGTTTAAAGAACTTAAATAATCTTATATAATCTTATAAGAATAATATAATCTTATAAGAATGTGCATTTTATAAGAATAAATTTTACATGCAAAGTTACAGCATTTAAAGAATATTTGAAATAAAAATGTTTAAGATGTAAAATAATGATGTATAATAATAAGTATAATAATAATAAATATAATAAAAATAAATATAATAATAATAGATATAATGATAATAAATATAATAATAATAAATATAACAATAAATATAATAATAAACTACTGAATTATTTTTGAAGAGTAAAGTGGATAAAGGTCTTAAACGGAGAAAAATTCTAAATATCAAATATTTTGAGAACTTAATTAGCCTATCATAATCTTTCAGGAATCTTACATTTTTGGAAGATAAAAAGTCTGTAATAATACCAATAAAAAAATTGTATTGAATTATTTTTATTTCTGGTGTAACTATCTGCTTATCGACAACTAACAAAAAATGTTGTAAAGCAATCTTTCGGGCTGGTAAGCGAAGCAAGTAGTTGCGAAGTCATCACTAAAATTACATTATACAACAACATTGATCGCTCGCAAATAATTGATTATTCAAAACAGTTTTGTAACAAATTTCTCCTATTTGGGATTTTTTTTTCTTTCCCTTAAGCAATTCGCAGCATTTGTATTATTAAAGTTCCAAAAAAGATGGATATCGCTCTAAACGCGAGTTTTACAAAATGGGCACAGTTTTTAATTTTACTATGACCATTTCATTATTCAAAAATTTACTCTTGAGTTATTCATGATGTTTAAAAAAATAAAGAGTTTGTACAATGATTTCGTTAGCACCTTTTTCAAAAGTAACGTAGATGTTAAAAATTTTGGTGCATTATTTAAAATTTAATTTGACATTTTATGTAATCATTTTGTCTTACGTCCGATTTCATGAACGCGATTTCGTCTTTATTTCAAGCACGCATTATTAAGTTACATGATTTTCTTTTGAAATGCCAGTTTTTCAAACACGATTAGATTGAACGTACTTTTTAAACACTATCCATTATTTTTCAAACGCTCTTTTCATTCAATGTCCATTTTCTATTTTGAGGCCAATACAAAATATGACGATAATCTAATACAAAATATTCTATGATAATTCCATGATAATCCAATACAAAAATATCATCTTCGATATCTTTTATTTCTTCATTGTCGCCAAATTATTTTTTTTTAAATAATTAATTTTAATTTTTCTCAGCTTCTACAAAATAAAACAGTTGAAGCTTTAGATTTTACAATTGAAAAATATGTAGATTAGTATGGTATAAAAAATTCATACCTCATAATTCAAAATTTTTTTAATTCTCAATTTAATTAAATAATAATAAATAATTAATAACAATTATTTTTTGCGTAAAATTATCTTTCGGCAAATGAGTTTTATGAGTGGGTGCAATGTTTTTTTGAATTGCTTAATTAGTTTTTAAAATGTGACTAAAAACGCAAAAAGTGAAATTAACATTAAGAAGTCCAAACTTTGAATCGCTCTCCTGACCAAACTATGGGGACCGCATTTCCCAGATTGAGGCTAGCCCTTTAGTTTGAAGATTAGGAGTCCGAATATGTAAAAAAAATCTATGTTTATTCAGAGAAAGTACGTTTTTGAGTCCGATTTCGTAACCTAATTCATAGTTAGCACTAAAAAATTAGCATATTTGAGGTCATCCCCAGAAACCATTAAGATTGGCTCGTAGTATGTGAAAATCCGATCATTAGAACAAAAGTTATTCAGGGTGATATCTTTTTTTCTTCTTTTTTCCCCTTTTTTTCTTTTTTTTTTCTTTCTTTTTGCGGACTGTACACTAGACGTAAATTCTGCGTCCATCGTATGAGATTACTAAATAATGAATAAGAAATGAACGAAATAGAGATTGGACAAATTATAGAAATATTTCAGTAGTGATGTAGTTCAAATTATACCGATATCAAATAGAATAATGGAAGTAAAGAGATTATCAACTCACAAAGATCACGCGTTGACATAGATTTTTCATTTTTCGAACTATATATCCAATTTCTGCATTAGCTAAAACAATTCTGAACCAAATTTTATTATGAAATATTCATCATCAAAATTTCAGTTTTTTTATACATGGGTTAAAAATTCAAAATCGTGAAGAATTTCAAATGAGAGTTAAATCGGTTAATGTAAAAAATATCAGAGTTTCATTTAAATATTTCAACAATCGTTAATCAAAATTCACGAAGAGAGATTACTTATCATAAAAACTGAAAGAAAATAAGAATTATTTGTATTGTTAGAATGTCGATAATTCTGCAGAATAAAAATATAAAATGCAACATTGCAGTAAATTAGGATGTAGTAATAGTAAACAATAAATGAAAATTCAAGCTAATAATTACAAGGAATGCCACTTTAAAATTTTCAAAAACTCGAAAAACTCTTTTTTTTTTTTTTTTTTNTTTTTTTTTTTTTTTTTTTTTTTTTTTTTTTTTTTTTGCTCAAACAGCAAAGAAATACATAAATAAGTAAAATAAAATGAAAAATAGAAATAACTTTTGTAAACCTGGGAACGTTTTATTATAATTTGTTGACTCCAAAATAGCTTTTGTTTTCCTTTTCCTGTAACAAATAATCAGCTTTTGCGAGTATTTAATCGGAAAAATGCAAGTATAAAAAATGAATGTAAATTCATAGAAATGATGCAAGCATTAAAAATATACGTAACTAGTACTAAAAATGCAATTATTAAACGTGAAGGTAATTAGTAGTAAAAATGTTATTAAAAATGCACGGAACTGGAAGTAAAAGTTCAATTATTGAAAATGCGCGAAATTGGTTGCAAAAATGCAAGTATTTTAAAAAGCATTTAATTAGTAGTAAAAGAGCAAAGTATTAACAATATACATAATTAGCATTAAAATGCAAGTTTTAAAAATGCACGTAATTAGAAGAAGAATACAAGTATTTAACGTGCATGTAATTAGTAGTTAGAGTGTAGACAAACATCCCTAATTTCTCTTTCTTCTTGTGGAGGTTAGAATAGACCTGAATTAAAATTATGTTTTAAATAAAATTTAATTTAATTAATGGAACTTTTAAAGAAAAAAATAGGGGTGCCTAATACTCATTTAACACTAAGTAACCGAACTATATATTGATTTCTAGGTGTAGAATAAAATAAATAAGCGAATCTAAGAAAGCACGAAGAAACAGTTCATAATAGGGCAGTATCCCACGACATTTAAAGGCATTGGTTTCAATGGAATTTCAATCCTAAGGATGCACCCTAACTCTCCTGAATGTTTATGGCAACATTAATGCAACATCTCTGTCATAACGTTTTTAAACTTGTAAATTTTTTTAAAAAAAAGGACTAAAATGCCATTTAAGAAGAAAAAAAAACTGGAGCTAAGAGAATGAAACCAATAGCAGATTTGAAATCAGTGATACAAAAGTATTTAAGATCTGTTAAATAATGCTCCGCAGTGTAATTGTTTACAGATTTTAAAATTTCTTTAAGCTTTAAGTGAAAATTATTTCTGCCCATTTGGCCATTCTCAAAAAAATATATCTATATTTTCTACCTGTTTTTAATTTTTTTTAAAAAAAGAAGGAAAAAAAAGCATCTCTTGACGTATAAACAACCAGTACGTTTTGTCGTTCATAAACTCTTGGTAAACTAGAATGTTTATTTTTCGCCTGTTGGATTGTTTCCTCGTCATACGGCTCCGTGTTTTCCAGAGATGCTCCATTGTCATACATAAACTTGTTTACAGTTTTATTTAAACGTACCGTTTGTGATTAATTCTACGTTGGTTCCTTATTTATTTATCTACAACCATTACATTAACATTCCACTCCTGTATAAAAGTCTTCTCTAAACTTTTCCAAAAATTTCGAACTTGCTTTTGCCTTCTAATCGCTATTACCTCCTTATCGTTCTTGCCTTTTCATTCTAAAAAATCACTTGACCGAAACTTTATACAATTTTATTTAAACATAATGTTTCTGATTGATTTTAGTTTGGTTCTTATTTATTTTCAACCACTACATAATGTACTGTTGGGAGATGATCTTCTCTAAACTTTTAAAAAATTTCTGTATTGTTCTTGTCTTTAAATTCACACTTGTTGCCTCCTTTTTAATTTCATTAGAACAATTTATGTATTTCGGATATCTTTTTTGGTAGTTTGTCAATTAATGCCACAAGTATACCAGTGACAGATATTGTGATTGCCAGTTTTTTAAACTATATTGACTAACTATTCCATTGCTTTCTGAAATGCTTATTTCCCTTGATGACATCCAAATTTGTCATGTAATTGTCATTTGTTCGACATTTGTTTGTCCTCTAATCCAAGATAGTCACTTTCAGTCCTTTCTCATAATATCGAATAGACCTTTTTCTATGTACTTTGTTGTTCTTAAGTCTGCGTAGA